TGACCTTCCAGGCTGGCAGCAGACCGCTGGGGTGGAAGGCTGTTTTAGGACAGAATGTCATGGCTTGTTGCTGTGTCATTCATCTGTGGGCATGTCGTCTCCATGGCAAAAGACTGCCGAATGCTTAAACACCTCTAAAGGGCAGCTTGAGCTGGTATTTATAAAACGCCACGGAGCTATGCCTCAAGGTAGTGATGTTCAGCTAACAGTGATTCAAGACCAGTTTTTTTTGTTAGAGATATATTTGGGCTGTTAGCTAAGGGAAGTCATGGTTTCTTATGCAATGTATGACCCAAAACTGAGAACTTTAGAATTAGTCACTCTACACAGTGATCAAACATCTGGCTATTAGTAGCTTGTGGCATCTTGATACTTGACCTGTCAACATTTTCAAAAACCTGAAACACAATTAATGTAAGAGATGTGTTCGGTTAAAGAACGACAGTGTGACAGGACATTTTTTATTCCAAAAAAACAAAAAACACTGAGGCAGTATTTGTGTGCATGGTGCAGTATTTGAGTTAGCTTGCTTGCACCTCACTGTTATACACTTACAGACTGTTGGTAAATGTTACAGCCATTTAAACTGAGGTCACTAAAAGGCTCTTGAAGCAGTGTAAATTAAAACCTTCCAGTTAACCCTCCTGTTATGTTGCGGGTCAAACTGACCCACAAACATAACTGCTGTAAATGAGACAAATATTTGATATGTAGAAATGAACTTAAAGGGAGCATGTTTTTCTTTCCCTTATTAATGCTGGTAATACTGACTTCCATGCAGCACAGACAAGAAGCCTTCTCGGATATCATGAGTGAGGAGAAAAATCTGGATTTACCAGTTCTACACACAGGCGGGGTTTGGTGCAGGTGGTCTGAACACAGGATCAACTGAAGCTATTCAAAAACTAAAATTTAAATCATGATATAAATCTATTATGACATCTATAACTTTTGTAAAATGTTTGTATGTATGAAGCTAGTAGCCAGTTAGCTTAGCATAAAGACTGGAAACTGGGCTCTGGGTCATGAAACAACAGTAATAAAATCTGTACCTCTAAAGATCATTAACTAACATGCTATATTTAGTTTGTTTAATCCTTACAAATACTGCTGTGTGGTTTTTACCAGAGATTATACTAACAGTTACTGTTTCCAGTTTAGACAAGCTATCTGGCTGCTGGCTGTCGCTTTAACTTTCCATACAGACAGGAGAGTGGCATCAATTTTCTCATCTTGGTAACAAAGTGAATAAATGTATATCTCAAAATTTAGAAGTATTTTTAGGCTTATATGCCAGGTGTTGTGCATAGCGTGGGACTGATTGCTTTCATCTCGCTTCAGTCACCCATAGAAGACAACATAATAGAACCTGCCCTAGATATGACTGCAATAAAATCTGTTCAGTCATTTTTGCACACTTAACAGATTTAGCCCTTGTGACTCACATCTGAAGTCCGTTTGCCATGAATCTCTGGAAATTCCCTGGAATAAGCTACAGCTCTGCTTGCTGCAACATGCAGAGATTTCTCGAGGCCGCACTTTAAACAAATAACAAACTAATAACCTATATATTTTCTTCAGTTTTACTCTTAGCAGGTGTCAAAGAGGAATCAGATTAGATCGTGCTTCTCTGAACATAATTTCATAGGAACACAAATTCTGGCATCATACACCAAACTGTTGCGAAATACGAATACATGGGAAGCCTGTCATCAATAGTTTCCTGAGAACAGGATATGGCTTGAGTGCAGCGCACCTTGTCCTCCTCTATTGTGTACTGTGTGAATGAGGAAGCTCTCTGTGGATGTGAGAACCAAGGAGAGGAATCCATCTCACTCCTTCCAACACTATCAGTTACATTCATCTCCATCCCTGTCATATCACATGACCTTGTTTGCTATTCTGTCTCATTCTTTCCCACACTGTCCTGATACTCTAACATGCATCCTATCCTAGCTAGTCACTTGGATTTATTTTGTGAGCACTTCTGTTGTCTCAGCCCTCAGGTTGGGAATTATAAGTATAATTTCCAGCAATTTTATTTAACATTTTGTTAATTGCTGCCACTCAGGTTGTTTTAGTTTCCTCTTGTGGTGATTTGCAACATTAGCTCGTGTTTCATTACGTAATAACTGGCATTTAGCTGGGCTATGCACAAAGGCAGCTGTGCATATTCTGCGTCCACAGAGACACAAAAGATAAAATATTTGCTCGGTTTGTAGTGCTCACCTTTTAATTACACCTAGACACAGCACCACAACTTCTTGTCCAGCTACATTATCTTGACATTCAGTCTGACAGTATCTGTTCTGGTGCCCGATTGTTTGGCACCAGCAGCAGTAGGGTTTGTGGGTTGTAAAGTAAACAAACCAGCCTTTCAGTAATGCTTGCACAGCTTTATAGTGCAAACATGCTCTAATGCTGCATATCTATGACCCAGACTTTGACGACAATGCTGCAGTTGCTATGTTAATGTTTTTCTTATCAAGTGAATTCCCATTTTAGTGCAGATAAAATGGCCTCTACAGTGAATACAACTAATGTTGCATATCCTACTTTAAAGTTTAGAAAAAGGAGAGCACATATTGTACACTAACTTTTGTCAAAACATTAGTGGTAACTACCAGCATCAATGGTACACAAAACGGTGGCAGAAAAACATAACAAAAAACTTAGTGACACAAAATGGCTGCAAAGACATGCAGAATGAAGACAAATAGAAATATTCTTTCTTAATTTATCCATGCAGACTATGTGTGTATTTTTGATCTTATTGTATTATTGTTATGTATATTTTTAGACTTTGTGCTGGATACACACACGACCCAGTGATTCCTTCTTCCTGACTCTCTTGCCTCCGTCCTTCTGACAACAACATTTTTAAGTCTTGAACACAGTTCAAATGAGTACATTTAAAGTCAAGCTGTTTCCAATTGTGCAGCTGGTAGTTTGACTGCTTTTAGTGCTTCACTTGTGCTCATGTTTCCATCAAAATGTCAAAGGCAGTGTGATTTTATTGTGTATAACAACACCTTTGTTTTATTTTATTTTTCATGGTATCCTTGAGTATTCTTCAGTTCTTCTTGCCTTTGCACATAGAATTAACATGTGAAATTTAAATAGTCTGCTCTGAGGTTTCAGCGCCTACAGACAAAGGGGATTTTTTGTGGCACACAATTTGAGTATACTTCAAAAGTTTTTGAAAGCCTCCATAATTTTCAAAGGGCCAGCCTTGCATTCCTCTGCAGGTTCACAGGAAGTGAGCTACAATGGAGAACAAAATGGTTAGAGGCGTTGTCCCACTAGCAGAGACATACATGCTCTCTCCCTCTCTCACACACACACACACACGATGAGTGAATAGAGGAAGTAGGGAGGCGGTGTTAAATGGCATGGCCAGACTTTTGAAAAGGTGGGGACTCTGCTGCTTTATCTGAAGGGGAAGTGCAAACATGCTCTGCTTTGCAGACCATCCACCTCAATGTGAGTGCTCCCCACGGAGGTGCATGTTTTTAAAAATAGGCTATTTAAGAGGATGCAGCATCTGAAACATAATGGGAATGTGTGTGTTGATGGGGGAGGGGGATGGGGTGTGGCCATATGCCATCAATACCAACTCACTGGGTCTATAGATTTTTCGGGTCTAATGAGATAATCAGCCTGAGGCCAGTGGCCACATGCTGTACAAAAATCAATTACTGTGGCCTGTTTGATTTCTTTACTGATTATGTTCGAGTTGACTGTTTTTTACAGTTTGCTTTTGGAGTGAAAATGTGGATTATGCAATTTCAGGATAGCATCTGTAACCCTCCCTCTTTCTTTGTCTTTCACCCACAGCCCACAGATATTATTAGTCTGTTATGACTAAAATCTTTGCTATTTAAAGAGTCTATAGTGAAAATCAGAGTCCCTATCTATAAAGACATCAGTTTAACAGCAGTTAGGTCAGGTAATAAATAGCTCTGAATTGTCTTTTGGCTTGGACAGAAATAAAACCTGTCATAAAGATTCGTTTATACCAGGAGGTGGGAAGTTTTATGAAAACAAAATTAACGTGTCCCTCTTGTGATAGGCACATGTCAAACATACTGTACTTGCACAGAGTTTTTACTTACCCATGGTGACCTGTAGTGAATGCCACGAGGTTGGATTCCTACCAATCACCTTGAATGCAAAGGTCAAAGTTGCATAGCGCTGTCTGTCACACATAAGAAGCACATACAACATTATTCAGAAAGATATTAAAATATTTCAATAGTACATTTTGAAAGTCCAGTTGAGGTATGCTATCAGTCAGGTTTGGACTCACTTTCCCATTCATTTCAGTGGGAAACCGTGTCCAAACGCCACTGATAGTATAGTTATTTGAGTATTTATTAAAACTTTATACGTAAAGAAAATATTCAAATTTTTACTTCACTAAATGTATCTACTTTTTAGTTAAGATTGCTGCATTTGTTGCTTAAAGTGCCTTAGATTTTGCGTTACTTATTTATCTACTTTATATTTCACTTGTATTGTGGCATTCATGTGGACGGCAAAGTAAGAATTTCATTGTCCAGGGAAACACGTTTCCTAACTGTGCATATGACAAATAAACACTTTGAGATTAAACATGCAACACATGTGTTGTCAGTGTATTGAATATGATGCATTGTTATATATTAGCAAAGACAGAAAGGTAGTACTCCAGGCTAACCACCCACAACATTAAAGTAGGCTACAAGTTATGGTAATAATTATTTATATTATGGGTCCTGCAAAGAACTAATTCATACACAAAAAATGTGAAACTATCAGACAATTTAACAGAGGAAAGTTTCCAAAAATAAAATCATTGTACTTTCAAGTGAGCATTTCTATTTTATGCTAATATACGTTTTACATGTTAACAATGACTGGGTCATCACAGAAACAAATGTTGTACAAGCACAAATGCAGCTACTGAAAACTTAATTGAAGAATGCATTTATTCCGCAGCTAATGCCGTTTCCTTGACTCCTTTTCACTCCTCATTAATGATAAAGCGCGTTGCAGCGTCCCCCTCCCCTGTGGCTTTACGCGTTTGATCCCCGCGGGACCTCGCGTTTTACATTCCTGGCATTCCGACCTCAGTCCCTCCTCGTTACTTATTATCGCCGCCTGTTCTCTCCAGTCATTTCACAGCAAGAGGAGTGTGTTAGCCAGTCCGGGGGGAGGACACTGAGGCACGTTTGATTCAAAAAACCTCACGGAAATAGTGGAATTACTCTGAATTTTACTTCGAGATCGACAACAACGTTTTGTGAGGATGAGAGCGTGAGCTGGTAAGAGGAGCGTCGTTCTCTTCCTTTGCCGCAGCACAAAGCCGAACACAAAGCTGGAATAAAGTAGCTACAGTGCAAGTTCTGGTTCAAACTTTTAATGGTAAAATGTGTTGTGGGGGGAATGTATGTTATTCACAGCGACAGCTGTACTTTAGCAACGATTAAATGACTTTATAGTGCGGTTTCATACGCTTTGCCGTGAGATGGGACTTTTTTCCTGGCGCATTTATTTTGTGCTGCTGTGAAACGCGTCTCCACGTCGCGGTGTTGTCGCTGTTGGTATAGTAGTAGATTCAGTGAGTCACATTTAATAACCAAAACATGTATGAGATATGCTGAGTTTACACAAAAGGAAGTATCTTCACTTGACAGGCTATTAAAATCTATAATGCTTTGTTACTACTATTACCAATTTCTGCACGCCTCAAACACAGCCTTTCTTCTGTATGAGTTTATTGTTGGCATTAAACTCTCATGTATGTTTAACACCTCAGATTGATTGTTTTTATCTTGCTCAATTCCAGGTTCACAGCTGATTTTGTAACATTTTTCTAAACAATAAAGTCCTCAACTGGTCTTAAGAGAGAATAGTAGAGTTCACGAAGCAGTATGTCGTCCACTGAAGAGCCGTCTGGCACAGTCCTGCATCGGCTCATCCAGGAGCAGCTCCGCTATGGAAACCCCACCGACACCCGCACCTTGTTAGCCATCCAGCAGCAGGCCCTGCGCGGAGGCAGTGGAAGCAACAGTGGACCCAGCCCACGGTCCTCCTTGGAGAGCCTCACCCAAGAGGAGCCTCCTTTCCCTCAGCTATCTGCTCGGCAGGAGCCCCAGGGCCAGGAGCACCAAGGCGACTACCACCACTCAGAAAGCGCCTACCAGCTGTACCAGCTGCATGGGGAGGAGTTACCAACATATGAGCAGGCCAAAGTGCACTCTCAGTATCTGGCCTCTCACTGGGCCCCTACAGACCCTGTCAGGCAGCTCCATGAGGGGGCCTTCCATGAAGAGGCAGATCTGATGGAGCTGAAGTGCAGCCATGCACGGTCACTCAGTGAGCATTGCATACAGATAGCTCTGGAGAGGAACAATGCAGCTGCTAAAGCAGAGGCCATCAAGAGCGCCTCCCACAGTTACCCAGATCTTCCTCACTACACCCCACAAGCCTTCCAGAGTACGGGGCAGAGCCTGGACAAGTGCAAACCGCCGCCAGAGTACCCATCCCCCATTCAGGGCCAAGGATTTATCCCTCACCAGGTTCAGGAGCCATTGCAGCCACAGCAGCACAGGTAAAAAGAGGAGTTTGGTGGATGTGACCATATGTATCTGTGATTGTATGTTATTAAAACTTTCACATGACATCATACGCTGCGGTTTACTTTTGGTATGAGAGTACGCCTTGTAATTATCTTCTACGAATCGTCACTGAGTTTCATAAACACATACTTATCAGTGTGAGTCACACATTACCTGCATACAACTCACATTTCTTTTTCAAAATACTTAAAGCAGTACAAGTTCAGCCCTGTAGGTGTTTGCAGTGTGTGGCCTACTAGTTTCACATGCTTGTATTTCACTGGATGCTTTTACTGTGTGGGTCATACAGGCCTTTACATTCTCTACAGCCACTGGGGTTAGCTTGTCTGCTTGGTGATAGACAGGAACAGAGTGATATCTAATATAAAGCTAGAGTGGCACCCAGTTCAGATATACAATTAAGAAATGGCTTTCTTTTAATAATGTCTCTTTTGCAGGTATGTCCAGTCTGCTCAGTCAGCTGAAGTCCCCTGTTACAACACGTTCATCAGCCTGACACCTGCTGGCTTGGAGAAACCCAACCAGGTGGAGCTGCTGCTGATGGAGAATGAGAGGCTAAGGCAAGAGGTGGAGGCACACAGGGAGAAGACCTGTCGTATTCAGAAGGTAAAGGGGAAACATTTCTTATTTTTATGTAGGAGGATAAATACAACTCAATTTCCTATCAAGTAACATTGAAGATCAATTTAAGGAAAAAAAGCTACTGATGATACTGACAAAAGCTGAAATCTGAGGGAAATACTCCAAAGTTATTTACTTGCTGAATGGCCAGACAACATCCTCTATCTCAGCCACCTGACTGCGAAACACAACACCAGTCAACAGTTGTCCCCTCGCCATCCAGCTCTAGGCACACTCCCTCATCTGGGCTGAACAGATGAGATCAGCAGCTGCTTCCTTCATACCACAGACACACAGAGTTCACAGACTGCTACTGTGTTTACTCACTCCCTTCATTGTGTAGCTGACCAGAGAAACTGTGTGTGTGTGTGTGTGTGCGCGTGTGTGTGCTTTAGTTCCAGGGAGGCCATAGATTTTCAGAGAACCTAGGGTTCATCAGTTGGGTCATGACTTGTACACAGCTGATGGGTGTAGGGTTAGGGTTTTTTTTTCAATTCCTTTCCTGTTCCTTTTTTGGCCTTCATGACCTACTCTCACCACACAGGCCTTAAAATCAAATACTTTCTTGTTCAACATGGTGGATACACCTTCAGCGACATGTGACACCTCAGCCAATCTCTGTAAAATCTTGTTCACTCTCTGCTGGAGTTATGTCACATGGCCTTTGCCTTGTCTCAGCCATAAAGAATGATAATTGCCAGGGTTGGAAAGTTTGCTCCATTCAGGCCACAGCCCTGAGAAAACATGCCTGTGTGGCTGCTGTAATGGTGGGTGTCTCTTTGCCATTTCCACAACCTAGGCAGAGGCATGCACACCTTCCCTCCATTGGCAGCATTCCCAGATGTCTGTGTGTCTTTTTTGCACATTTTAATCTTATGGTTTTCTTATGTACATGCATGCTCTTGTGCACTCACACACCTGGAAATATAGCTATCAGCCCTCAGGAATGTAGATATAAATCAGTCTCCCAGGGAGTGGTGCAGGCTTGAGTTCCTTCTCAGGGTGCAAAACATAATGAGAACAGTGAGAATCCACAGTCTGCCACAGCTATACTAAAAGTATCATGTATCAACTCATGCATGTTGCTGCTTGTACAGTAATATTTAATGTTTTATCCAGTTTGCACTGTTTTTTTCTATATATGCATTTTTAAATTTTATCCATCTGTGTGCATTGTGTTAAGTACTTTGAATTGCTGTTGCATATGAAAATGTGCTATATAAATAAACTTGCCTTGCCTTCTGAGATCCTCCCCCCCCTGCACACACAAAACTAGTGGCATATGCATCCATGTGTATCTATGTACTGTAACAACATGAATCAACATTCCAGCTTCTCCCTGGTATGTTATGTAGGTTAACCAAAAATGTCCTCTTCTCTACCTTCTCCATTTCTTGGCTCCCTTTTTTTCCACTCCTCCAATCCTCTCCCAACTCTTTGTCTCCACTTTTCCTCTAATTTTAGCTGGAGCAGGAGATCCAGCGTATTTCTGACGCCTATGAGACGCTGATGCAAGGCAGCAGTAAGAGAGAAAACCTGGAGCAGACACTGAGGAGGAGGCTGGTGGCTGAAATCAGGAGGCTGCAAGATTTCAACAGAGACCTTAGAGGCATGGACAACTGCCATAAGACAAATATAATACCACATATTGTAGAAGTGGTCTGACATAATACTACAATCTAGTCTAACTGTTAAACTGTTTCATTACAGAAAACTTGGAAAATGCCAGAACACATGTTGCAAAAGAAGTTGAAGCAGCAGACCATAACCAGCACCTGATGGCGAAACTCCTTGAACAAAGTAAGCATGTCATTTTGTTTGACTTGATTCCTCTCTCTCGGTCTGAGTTATATCCTCTTTTGTAATGGACATGCTGGATTGTAGCATATCAAGGGGTCCTTTCTGTAGCTAGGGAATTCCTGCATGAATGAAATTCCCTTGCATAACATGTACTTATTTGGTAAGAAAGTTTAATAATAGGGAACGCAATCTGTGCACCAGATGGGAAGCACTGGCTCTAAATCACTGAACAGCAGTGGAACTGGTAGAAATGAGGTTCCCCCACCTGATGTTAGTGTGATTTATGTTGTCTGTGGAGTCAGGCAGAGCGGTGGTGTTTGTATGGCCTTGATGAGGAATGCTATGTGGGTCAAAGGGATAGGGCGGCTTTCTTCCCCTTCCTCCTCTTTCCGACTCTTAGCATTCCAGGACTGCTTCGCTAAATGAAGAACACTGGCAGCCATGTAGCAACTGTGGTACTTATTACTGAGCTTAGTCTCAAGAGGAAGAAATTGTAGGTTCATGCTGATAGGCTTTTTTCCCAGGAAGGATTTTGGGCAGATATGGAATACCATATTTCAAATCATAGCAACTGCTATTATGGTCATGTCCACATACATCAAACATGCATTTAACCTGGCCATCTTTACTTTTTCACTTTTAGATGAGGAGCAGAACTTTGAGCGGGAGCGCATAGAGCGCGAAGTGCAGCGACTGCGAGCCACAGCGGAGGAGCAGAGCCTCAGGGCAAAGCGACTCGAGGAGACCCTGGAGGCAGCTCGGGGACGCGGCCGTCAGCTCGAGGAGGAGCTGAGAAGGAAGAGGGCCTATGTGGAGAAAGTGGAGCGACTTCAGAGTGCGCTGGCTCAGTTACAGTCCACCTGTGAGAAGAGGGAGAGCCTGGAGATGAAGCTGAGGACACGACTAGAGCAGGAGCTGAGAAGTCTGAGGGCACAGCAGGTAGATATGCGAAGTGACATGACAAGTTTCAGCCTTCTGCACTTGATCATTTTATGGTTTCTTATCAACTAAACTTTTGGTGTCACTTTCCACCTCAGAGGCAATCCCAGCCACCAGGACTGACCATGAGTTCCCTCCAAGAGCGTCTGCGCGAGCGGGAGGAACGAATCTTAGCCCTCGAGGCCGACATGGTGCGCTGGGAGCAGAAGTACCTAGAGGAGAGCACCATGAGGCAGTTTGCCATGGAGGTGGCTGCCACTGCTGCTGCTCAGAGGTAAGGCATTTACAAAGACATCCCATGAGCACATTTTCCAGCTCATTTTATTGTAAACTAAACTCTGATTTTTCAACCCTTGCAGGGACACCACCATCATTAACCACTCACCCTGTCACTCTTCTAACAACAGTTTCAATGAGGACCTGCCAATTGCTGACTACAGGAATCAAGAGATGGAGAACAGGTGCATAAAAATAACCATTACAGCTCCTGACAGAATTTGAGTTTTTGACACATTAGGTTATCTGCTTTCCGACTCACTTTTTTATGTTTCTGTTTTGTGTCAGAATCCGTGCTCTTTACGCTCAGATCTTGGAAAAGGATGCTGTGATTAAGATCCTCAACCAGCGGCTGCACCAGGACCAAGGGCGGAAGGAGGAGCAAAGTGCCCGTACAAACCTCCTGAATGAAGCGGGGGCACCTCTCCGACCCGCCTCCTCCACTCCCTCCATCTGCACCATCAAGAGCACCACAAAGAATAGATGTGAGGAGGATAATGTTGCCCATTTTAAATTATTAATGTGGAGTGGTATACATTACATGCTCAGACACAATTCAGATACACTTCTGATCCTGCTTAAACTGCAACAGCTAAGTTGAAGATTTTCCATGAATAAAATCTTTGTAGTAAAAAAATCTGGATGGGGTGGGATAAGAGTTAAAAAGCACTGTTGACAAATGCTGACATTTTCCATGATGTTGTCTTTTAGGTAAGAGACTGTCAGATGACCAGACTTTGCCAAACCAGGAGCTCTCTGCTCAGTCTGAACCTGGAACACTAGAGCAGCAGGTGGAGGGAACCAAAGCCAAAGAAACAGCCAGCACAGTGAAGCTCAGCAGTGGTGAGTCATCTATCAAATATGCACCAGTGTTTGTTTATGCAGCTCAATAATCCATTAATACTGATAAATGATTTCCACACACGCTGTTTGGTGCACGAGCCCAAGCTCCACATCAACAAAACACGCACAGAGTATGTACAGTAAACTATGAAAGGCCATCGGCTTCATGAATGTTCAGACCTGCTGCTACTTAGCCAGTCAATCAGATACCATCTGTCCAGGTCAAGGTTCACAGTGTGGGCCTTGTGTATGTGCATGGTTATGAAATAACGTGGATGTGCTAACTGAGCATGTTTACCAGAGGGGTCTATTTGACTGGGAAATCTGTGTTAACCTTTACTCACTGATAGTTAAGCTGTATTGGCGACATTCTGCCACTGTTTTAGCCTTAAGACGTGCATAATAGGTTTTTTCTCTGTTTTTTTTCCCCAGACAAGGCAGCGCCTAAGAAGTTGCTGTTAAATCACTTCAGAGGCCTGGATGAGTTGGAATCAGAGGCAGTGGAAATCTTCATTTAAAGAACTGAGAGAAAAAAAAGCATCAATTCTGAGAATATGTGAAGAGTGCAAGTCTTTGAATAGAGGACGGAAGAAAATACTGGCTGCATGGATGTCGTGGAAAGAGGCCAGTGCATGAAAACAAACGGACTGTTTTCACATTTTAGAGAGAGAGCTGTGCTCTGACTCCCTCTCACTAAGTTGGACAGCTGCAGGCAGTCTGCCCAGCTAGGTGAGCACAGATTAATCTCCCGAGGTACTTGGACAGTATTGTGGATTGTAATAGGGCAACATGTTCTCAGACCGTGTATGCCAAAATATTTATATGAATATATAGATATATACATAATTGCTGCTTTCCCCAGTTTATCCTTTATCTCCTTTGCCAAACCAATGAATCAAGAAGCTACATATTTATCTTATCTGGTTTCCACATTCCCCAAATATTAACTTACTCATGCTCTTTTAGATAAATATTCAAGAACAAGGTTATCTATGTGACCTGCATTCCCCTCCTCTCCAAAACATGTTAGTAGGAGTAACCTCTTTCCCATCACATGGATTTAATCAGTTTGGACAACTTCCCTTAGCTTAATAATTTGAGCAGATAACATGAAACACTGTTGATTTACATGCTCCTGCTGTCCATGTTCATTAGGTCTGAGTAGCTGGTTCTGCAAAGACTTCGTGGGTATGTGAACAGTGAGATGCATAATATTTAAAAGACCTTTTTTTTTTTCCTTTTGCCAAACCAACACAGACCTAGTGTTTGTAAGTTTGGGAGAGTGTTGAATCACGGTATTGATTTCATCATCTGTTTTTCCTTCTCAGAGTATGTTTGCATGCGTGATTACAGGATGCGAGTGTGTTTCCCGATGTGGTGAGCCTGCTGGTTTGGTCGCCACTGAGGGATAAAAGTTGAAAGTGACATGCTGTTGGTTTTCTGTTTACTGTGAGCTTTGAACTAACAAACTGGTTATTCTTATTATTATTATTATTATTGTTCATTTTATACTGATGTTCATATTGTTATTTTATTTTTAACCGTGCTCTGAGCAGGATGCCAAAGAGTTTTAAGTGTGTATGTTTGTTGTAAGTTATGTGCTGACAATCACGGTCATGTCAACCCGTACACATGCAGCCAAGTGTTGACTTCAAACAGACATTTCTGTGAACTTCAAAGAACATGAAGGTTTTTACAGTTGAATTCATGCAACATTTCATAAAGCAATAAAATATTCTAATATATTTACCTGGTGCCCTGGCTTGTGAATAATTTAAAGACCCCCTCAACTCAATTTTTTTTTTCTTATTTTTATGCCCGTAATTGTCTGCCCTCCCCTGTCCTGACTGCAGGTTTGTCATTAACAGGGTGTTTTCACATTAATCTGCTGAAGGGAGCAGGTGTATGTTTGCTGCCCTGAAATCAGAGGTTCAAACCTGAACAGGCAAACTAAATTTATGACAACACAAATCTGCAGATTTTAGGAGTGCAGTGAGAAACATTAAACCACTGGGTTCAGAGCAGCCAGAACGACCTTTTCAGCGACCGGGAGTTTTCTGCTGACAGCAAATATCAGATCAAAGTCTGGGTCTGAATGAAGCTCAAACATATACGGCTGAATCAATATTTCCTCCTGCCATTGTATCCTGATACACAGTGATTTCATCATTCACCTTTAATTTACTCTTGAAAAAAATGTCTGGCTATTTTCTGTTGCTAATAGAAAAACACCGAAGTGTTTAAAAAAAAAAATCATAGTTTCACCAGTAAATGTTGTGAATCTTCCTGTTTCACTCCCATTTCCGTCTCACACTGTCACCCTATCTCCTCATTCCTGTCCTCTCTCCCCACCACACAGAAGAGTGCTCTTCATTAGGTAACGAGCATCAGCGCTGCATTCTTTTGGGTTCAACCTTCTCGAGTGGCATGCTCTCTTGTTCTCTTCTTGCCATGAAAAGCATGCTTGACATAGATCACATTCTCACAGGGGAGCGTAACCCTATATGTGACAAAGCCGGGTTTCTCCCAGATTAGCCACTAATGCCGTTTGAAATTCTCGTGTGCACCTTTTCTAATACGTGCTACATTCCTAAATGCTTTTACTGCCTCTGACTGAACTCACACCCAGAAGTGTTTCTGAACTATTTCTGGACATGCCACTGGATATAAAGATGCGAGAATAGAGAGCTCAGTTATGTGATATGTTTCGGGATAGATCTCTATGTCTTACACACACACACACACACACACACACATGCATTGAAAGAAAACATCAGCAGGATCATAGATAAAGAATAAAAGATCAACAACAATCCAAAAGAAAAACTCCCATGAGTGGTAATAAGTGATGTTTCAGCCCAACACAGGTCTTGCTCCAACAGAGACCTCAAACATTGCTGCATACCCTTAAAGGGGCACTGCACAGAATTTACACTTAACGTTTAATTTGCTTTTCGAGTGGAGTTCTTCTCAACTTGTCAGTTCAGTAATCTCTTATGTGATTATATTAAAAGATGCTTACATTTAGTTTATCAACGCTTTTTGTCAGCAAAACTGTCAAAGTGGGTATAAATGACTGATAAATGACAGACTTGATTTATTCAAGAAAATAGTTGACAATCTAATATCAAATAAGAGATTTGTTTGTGTGTGTATCTTCTCAAACCTTTTTTGGTTCCATGTAACTGAGTTGCATTGTGGGGCCACAGGACAATCCTTTAATAACTAAATAAACAAACTGCTAGTGATCAAGTTTTCTGTGTAAAGTAGTTTGAAATATTTCACCATCACTTACACAATTAAGCAAGCAAATTCAGAATGAACTCTGCTATAGTGAGGTTTCATACTTGGAAGGGGAATAGAAACAAAAGCATGACTGGACTTGAACAGAGAGGATATGACCTGGTGAGATAGTACGGATGCTTTTGACAGAGAAGCTTGTATGGGAAAATAGAAAGCAGGAACTGGTGGTATGTGATCCCATCAATCTTATTTATGAGATGAGGGTTCTTATCTGGTGTACTGACTGACAACATTGTGAAGACACGCCAGCATTCCTCTGTGGATGTGAAAGGCAGCTGACATGTTTCGACTGTGGCTCTCTCTCTTTCCCAGAACTGATATGGTGAAGGAGGAGGAAACGTAAACAGGAGTCAGGGGTCAAATTCTTTTTTGTGTGTAAACATCCAAGAAAATTAAATTTTTTACACTTTTTGAAACAAGTTCCTCGCATTTCTCTGGCTTGGTCATATTGTAACTTCACATAGGTCTACAATCACCATGAAAGGAACGGGTTTGTTGCCGTGTAAACCATGGAAATGATCTTCTCACACCGTGTTTGTGTGTGGCACCGTGTCCTGATGTTTACAGTTTTTACAGCACATTCCTAATGAGGCCACTGAAGTTTCAGCAAACTCAGCAAATACACAGATGGTGAATGATGGTATCCGATTGAGAGAGTAAAGAGGAGGCTTTTAGAATGCAAACTGTCCTTGCTTTTACATTGCTATAGTCAGTAATATGCCCATATTCTATTTCTGAGGCAAAACACCCCATAAGAAAGAAAATCTAGAAACTACTAAGACAAATTGTAAATACACAGGGATGCTCACACATTTGATCATCAAAACACCAAGGAAGAAAGTAAATCCATGCCAACTATCATTTCTTTGGCTTTTCACAAAACTCTAGCATGTTTTTGGACGTTGAAAATACATGCCTTATGCCCAGGGGGACACAGAAATGTAACCTGTTACCACCTGCTACACAGGCATACTACAGTTGTGAATGGCTAACCTTTTTTGTTCAGGGGCCATGTGTTTCAAACCACAGAGATAGATAACCCTCATATACACTCATACACTCAAATTTCAGTCGTGCAAAAAAAAAAAAAAAAAAAAAAAATCAGCATCATAAGATGGAACACAGACTTTCATAGAAGCAGAATATCTAGATGGTTTCTAAAGCAAGGAGGTGAACTGTTGTGGTTTGAAAATTCTTCTACTCTTTTGTACTTTTTAATGTAAGCTATCGATACATGTAAGGGCTTTTTATAAGTTATTAATCTGTTGCAAATCTCCTGGATGAGAACATTTGTTCTTTGACTTTGGAAAAAAGTATAAGACGTCAAAGAGCTATGGGCTTTTAACAGTTAACAGACAAAATTCATTGACACTTGAGGATTATTTACACTTACACATCCCCTGAGATACAAAACATGAGGCATGTGCTGTACAGTATGTGCTCAGTTTCCTGGTAAAACAGGATCTTTTGACTCATGGGACTAGATCCTGTTAACTGCTTTACAAAGCTACACACATACACACAGAGAGCTGAGAAGAGCCACATGCTGTCAGTGACCTCTGCTGTGCATCTAACAAGCCTTTTGGGGATGTATGAGTGGGGGACCACTGATCCTCAAGAGGGGTTTTTCCAATGCTTTAACATTTTTGACAACAGAGCAGGAAACTGTAGGCTACAACTGCTCCTTAGGTGACACCCAGGTAACTCGAAGAGTGATGCAGCCAATGCAGCATTTATATTGGGAACTCTTATCCCCACATTATTCTGATACAGTAGCCTGCTTTATTAGTTATATATAACACAGAACAATTTAAAATGCACTTTAAGTATCAGCACCAAGGTATGTTACCCTTGGGGCGTGTTAGCTTTTCTCATAACAAAAACACACAAAAATAAATCCTACCAGTTTACTCAAATGTGTTTTCAAGTGATTTGAAAATGAGAAGTGATTTTGAATAGCACTGTAGGGCCAAATATAATTGATAGTCGACTTTTGAAGATGAACAGCGTCACCTGCCGGAAACTCCTCAAACCTGCACTTGAAAGTTTTTAGTCTGTTTTGATAATTTATTGGACTAATCTGGTTTGTCTGTTTGCTGTGTTTTCTAGTAGCTGCCACTCACATTAATGGGTCCGCTGGTGGAGTGAGGGACCTTTCCACTTCAGGCTATTCCATGCTTGAAACTATTTCTTCTTACAAAACCATTATACAGTAGAGTCAAATTCCTTGTGTGTCCAACGCACCAGGCTAATAAAGCTGATTCTGATTCTATGATGAATAAATATATGTACTTACACCGCTGGATTGACAGAAATATTTCTTCTTGTATGCTTTTAAAACGAAAATGCTCAAATATTTTTCTGTTCATGCGGCCACCTTAAAACAACATTGTCTCATGTGTTGGTAATAGCCGGTGTACGCCTGGTATCAAACCGTTCGAACCCTTCAAACAAACCTGCCCCTTCAACCATCGCGGCTACCGTAGCCATAATAGCTAGCTAAAATAGCTGCTTCTTGACGCTGTGGTTGAGGATTAAAGTTTGCTAAACCTGTTCATATTCCGGTTTTAATGAACATTCATAGCTCGCTCCAACCAATTTAAGAGCTGGGGGGGACACACCTTAAATCCGGGATGTGCTCTGTTTTGGGTTGCGGTTCATGGCGTCGCAGTGCGCAACGGTTCAAGTTACCAGAGGATCCAGAGAAGAGACTGGAGTGGGTTCAGTTTCTCGCTACGGTCAATAAGCAGCGTTTTAAGGAATCGTCCTGGACTGACATCACTATTTGTAGCGAACACTTTAAATATGACTGTTTTGAAAACCCCACTCCGAGCCACTTAGGCTTGACTGGCAAGCTCCAGCTAACGTTAAAAGCCAGTGCTGTACCATCACTGTGCCTCCAGTCAGAGTCAGACGAACCACAGCCAAATCTGGAGAATCCAAAATGTGTGGTGAGTCTGCTTTGACAACTCTGATCATAAACTGTAACCCAGTAAAATACCCGCAGACATGCACAACATATCAATGAAGACGTCTCCCAGTGGTTAACAACATTATACTGGGTTTGTTTATACACTTGTTGTCAGTTTTCTGTCAAAAGTTTTTCGTGTTGCCTCTCTAATAGTCTATAGGCTACTGTACAAAGATAAAGAGGAGACATATGCAAATAAGGTGTTTATACTGGGAGCCTTTCCATGCTGTCATTGCAGGTAACTGACTTATACCCTCAGAGACATTTTAAACACAAGCTGTGACAGGAGTGCTACAGTCAGTAGTTAAAGGACGGGGTGCACTATGTGTATCAACACAGTAATCACAGCAACAGAAGTTCAGTGTCCTCTCCTTTTAAACATTTCAGATCCACATTTTTCATAAGAGAACTGACTAGTAGTGCTAATCCACATCTTATGTATGTCCTTGGTTGTCGCCTCAGATGCTGCTTGCTTTGACAGGTGCATAATGTGCCTTTACTGACGTAGCCCTTTTGTGCCACCACACAGTACTTCTGTGTTGACACTGCATCATCTCCCTGTCCATTTCATTTATGTGCTAATTTAGCCTTTTGTCATCTGGTTGACAACATGTTTGTATATTTTTATAAACAATCAAAATGTATGGCACTGTAACATCACCCAAACGCTCTTTTTATTGTATCAATTGTTGCTTTTTAGGAGCCTGTGGAAACGGCAGCGGTCCTTCATCAGCATGATGTACTTAAAGGTATAGTTCCTGAAAAACCAGCAAGATGAAGCTCGATTTTGAAAGTAGCCAACTGAAGAAATCCCGCCCTTTTGTTCTGACTTCAATCCAAAGCTACTCCTCCAAAACACACTGTGCACTGTAATGTGCGCTACCTGACTGCTGCTTAGAGATTTCAGGAAAATAGCAAATCCCCTCCAAACTGATAATTACGTGTCCAGGGGAGATACGGCCACCATGGCGTCACTTTCAGCCCCTTTTGTTCTCTCAGTTGTCGCCATCGTTCATATCCACACCAGTGTTAATTTTGGTTTCACTTGGTGCAGCATCCAACTTCTTTTTAGTTGTAACTTTCTTGAATATGGTCTCTGAAAGTTAAAGCTGCTGTGGGTACCTTCTCTGCCAGAGCTATAAAAACAGGACATTAACATGCCTGCAACGCCTTGGCAATGAGTACAATGGTAGAATGTGTGCAAGTAGGAAGTAGGTTGACAGACAGCTAGGCCATCAAATTGTTTTGCTTAGACTGAGTAAAACTACTGGTCAGGCTATTTCAGCCCTGCTGCTGCCACAGAAGATGGATTGTTTTCTTTGTTATGAGAGCATTTAATGCATTCATTGGGATAAAAGGAGAAATTCAAGAAGTGTAGCAAAAATGCTTCTGAAACGTGATTGTTCAACTTCCTATTCTGAAGAATCAAGAGTAACTTCAATGGGTCAATAAAATATATTGTTTTGTGTTAATAAAAATGAAGTAAAAGCAAATTCAGATGAATGACAAATTAAAGGAATAATAAATAAGGTGCTGGGCCACCGTGTGCCACTAGGACAGCTTCAGTGCACCTTGGCATTGATTCTCCAAGTCTCTGGACTTGGACTCAGTCATTTAGGTTTTTCCTTTAATTTGTCACCCATCTGTATTTTCTCACATATCCTTTAAATCTCATTTACAGCCACCCAAGGGGGCCCAGTCCCAAGAGCTCTCTCATCTTCATCTGTTACTTCAGATGCTTTTACGTCTGGATATGTCCAGAGGCAGCCAAACGATATGAATATTCATTTGGTCATGGAAAAGTAAGTTTTCTTTACACTTGTGCCTAACATTTATGTTCACATTTTTCCAGCCACTTGGGGTTTTCATATTTCATGTCAATGCATTTTTTAGAGCTGCACTTCTAAAGATGAAGGGGAAGTATATTGTGAACGAAAAACGCCTCCTTCAGTTGTTCAGCTGTAAGTGCCCATCATGTGGATGTAAACTTAAGACAGAGAAGGTCACCCTTGGGCTATTTATCATCTTGAATCAGCAGTGTCTTCAGTGTGAGTACAGAAACCAGTGGAAAAGCCAGGTCAACACCAGTATCCCAACAGCTGAAGAGCAACACCTGAGAGGATGCACCGAAGTAATTTCAGAGACCCAAAAGGTAGAACATCTTGGAAAAGTTTCTATCTGTAAGTTTTGTGTTCCCTCACAGTGACACGTTTTGCATTCAGTTCGATTTAGTGGGTTTTTGAAATGGTTTATGAAGAATCACAAATCATGTATGTATCCTCCGCTTGCACCTCCTCACTGTTAGTTGTAACATTTAAGAGTTTGCTGTTCACATTTAAAAAGTGTTGCATTTCAGCTATGTCCTTCCTTGTCATTGTATCACAGGCAGCGCCAACAGATGACACCCACATCAGTATCACATGTGTGCCAGAGGATGTTGCTGTTGCTGATGAGGAGAGTGAAAGTGAGGTATCTAGTGATCAGGGTGACATGGATTCAGATGAGGACTGGAAACCAGCAAAACATCTTTTTCCGACTGGAGTGCTTCAAAAGGCACCTGGTGAGGAAACTGAAGATGAAGACGAAGAGGAAGACTATGATAGTCCTCCTCCACTCCCCAAACACAGTCAACTCTGCGCAGAGTGTGGGCTGTTTTTCAATCGACGGTGGCCTCACACATGCAAGCACAAAATTAAGCCATATCCATGCAATATTTGTGGCAAGAGATGTGTTAGTGAGGTAGCTCTAAATACTCATAGCAGAATCCATGATGAAAATTACAAGCATCAATGCAAATACTGCCAGGTTACTTTCAAAACAAAGGTGGACAAGGTCACTCACGAGCAGATCCACATGACTGAAGGAAAGCCTTATAAATGTCCTGACTGCTCAGAGACATTTGCCACAAATAAGGAACGTAAAATCCACCTGGAGGATCACAGAGGCCCCAAGCAATTAAACTGTCACATCTGCGGGATGGAATTCCTCTGGCCCCTTTCTCTCCAAAGGCACTTAGCTGTACACACAGGAGTGAAGCCGTACAAGTGTTCAGTGTGCCAGCGTGGCTTCAACCAGGCGAGCCATCTGAAGTCTCACATGCGTCTGCACACGGGGGAGAGACCTTATAAGTGTCAGCATTGTGACAAACGCTTCAATCACAACGTGAGCTTGAAGAGTCATGTCCAGCGTTACCACACATCGAGTTCTGGACATGAACAGAAGGAAGAAGAGACAAAGGAAAGCAGCACTGGTGATTTTCAGGACAATGGGATCAAGAGAGGTGCAGAGCCGAGACTTGACAATGTAGATGAAGAGCATGATACAGAAGACGAGGTGCTGGAGGAGAGAATATATAGAGCTAAAAAGAAAAGGAGAAGCACAGGTAGACCCATAGGAAGGCCTAAGAGCTATGCATCTGGAAACACGGTTCTGGCGATTGAAGTGGAAGGCCAGGGCGCACACACTGAGGCTCACCAATTACAGGTGGAGAAGTTAAGGAGAAGGCAATGCAGTGATGAAGGAAGCGAGGATGAGCTAACTGACAGTGATGTAAACTTTGATTCAGCAGAAGAGGAAGAGGAGAGGAGCCAGGAGGCGATAAAGATCACAGAGAGATCAGGGGGTAAAGGGAAAAACTCTGACAGTGACTCTGATTTTGATCCTGAAAACTCAAAGGAAAAAAGGCAGAGAGGTCCGAGTTTAGGGAAGCGCAGGGGAAGACCAAGAAAACATGAGGTGGTGTGAATATTATTAAAATGAACAGTCAAAGAATTTATGTTTAACGGTTTAAATTCCTTGTACTTAGTTCAAATTACTGGTTTACACTATGTGATGCTGATTGATCTGTAAACTAGTTAAAGGTTAGTCACAAATGCTGCTAAAAGGGACTGTGAATTTACTTCTGCTAGGCATCTGACCTGCTATGAGTGTTAACATTTTTGTGGCCACAGGTTAGAAAATGTTTCAGCAACATATGTAGTTAGGTGACAACTATGGGATGTAAAGTGCAATTATGCCATGAAGCTGTTAGACAGTAATATGGTTCCCATAATACCATATTTTATTGGTAATTACATTGCACAGAGTGTAATTAGTTAGGTAATTGTTTGATTTTACTTTAAACTGCCCATCCCTTTTACTTGATGGTATTTAGCCATATCAAATCAAGCCTGTTCAGCTCAGATACAGCAGCAAACTGGTATGATTCCTGCTTTGTATGAGAAATGTAGCCCACATACATTTTCAGACACAGTATTTTAAGGACTAGTATGGAGATAGCGTAGATCAGTATGTTGTCACTGTCCTTGTCATATAGAAGGACGCCACTAAACCAACAGCTGCTTGGACCCAGAGTACATCGGGATCCCATCTAACAGGATGTGAGTGCTCTTGTGACTTCCTGTACGGAGTGAAGGCTGCTGGAAAGCTCCGAAAACTCCGTGATGACTGCGGAGATTTGTCACCGCCCGCTTTCGTCCGCTCACCGGGAGAGGCGCAGCTCATCTCGAACGAGCCCAAGACTGGTTTTTAGCCTTCAGCTGTTGGTATTCGGAAGGTAACTACGAGGTGTTTATTGTAGGAAACCCTAGCCACGACGCTGCCGGGGCGCTCTGCTGCAGGGACCCGAGTTAGAATCCGGGATGTGCTCCGTGGTTGGATGCGATTCGTGGCGCCGCAGTGTGCAGCGGTTCAAGCTACCGGAGGATCCGGAGAGGAGACTGGAATGGGTTCAGTTTCTTTTCGAAGCCAACAGCCAACGACTCAAAGAATCGTCCTGGACTGATATCACCATTTGCACTGAACACTTTACATACGACAGTTTCCTGACCCCGACTGGCTCGTTGCAGCTGAGAGCCGGTGCTGTCCCGTCCCGTTGTCTCAAGCCAGAGCCCGACGAACCTGAGCCAAAACAGGTGAGATCGAAACACCTGGTCAGTCTGCTGTGGCACTGACACCTGGTGGCTCTCCGTGTGCACAAGTTATCTCTTCTACATGTCCGTGCAAATTCTCAGTCCTGGTCACAGTATTTTTTATCTAGGTTTTTCCAGCTGATCTCTCCTACCTACACTATCAACTACATGATAGGACAAAAGAATAATAAATGATAAAACATAATGCTGTTTACGCCAGGTTTTCTTCAGTTTTAGCTTGTTTTTGCATACAATTCAGGTGTTGGGCAGGTAATTTGGCCTGAGGTTTGATCTCCACTGTTTTGTACGTGGTGCGCATGCGCAGTCTGCTGTGCGCAATACATCAATGTGCGCAGCGCTGAGCGGGTTTGCTCAGTTCAGATCGAGATCGATGGATCGTTACACCCCTACAAAACATATGTTTAAATAAACTCAAAACCTGTGGTACTGTAACAGCAACCAAACGCTATTTTAATGCATTGTGTGTTGCTCCTAGGAGCCTGTGGAGACGACAGAGGTCAAGTCTCATGATCAACTTAAAACATGTGATAGTCCAGCTTCCTTTTCTGAAGAATCAGTGGGTAAGAACATTTGCATTGGGTATTATCAAAGTCAAAATATGCTCAAATATTTTCACGTGAATGTTGAACTTTCAGTTTTATTTGCAGCTGTCCCAGAAAGCCCTGTGCCAAGTGATACTTCAGATGGACCTGATTATGGCCAGATGCTACAAAACATTGAGAACATAGATGTGATCAGGGAAAAGTAAGTTAAACTAACAGTTATACTTACTTTCCATAATTTGTTTGCACTGTTTGTTGCTTGTTTATACTGTTTATTCTGTTATACTACACAGCCTTATGTTAGTATACTGTTTACTTGCCCCTTGCATGGTGATATGTACATGCACATTGAGAGCTGCTGTACCAGAGTCAAATTCCTCATGTCTAACACACCTGGCCAATAAAGCTGATTCTGATTACACCAGCTTTGCTCTTTAAAGCTAGATCTCAGTATATTTCATGTAAAAATCTTTTTCAGAGTTGCTCTTCTCCAGATGAAAGAGATGTATGTGGTAAACGAAAGCCGACTCTTCCAGTTGTTTGGCAACAAGTGCCCATCATGTGGTTCTAAAGTAAAGGTAAAGAAATTTATTCATGGTGCATTCATCGTCGTGAACCAGCAGTGCCTTCAGTGTGACTACAGAAACCAGTGGAAAAGCCAAGTCAATGCCAGCGTCCCAGCAGCTGAAGACCTGAGAGGAGGCATAGAAGTGTTTTTAGAGGTAGGACATCAGTAGTGAGACGCGCTGCACCATTTCCAGACACTGCGTGTAGCTTTACTTTGTGATAGTATTGTGCATCCAGGAAATCTTTGAAATGAAAATCACATACTGTACAATCTACACTCTCCATTATTTTCTCTATAGTCATTTAAATATTTTTGTATACTTCTGAATAATGACAAAACAGTGTAATTATTATCAAAAATCATGCACCCATTGCACCTCCATGTTTGCTGGGCTGTGATGTTGAAAACACTATCTATGCTGTAAAGATTTTGAAATAGTTAAAGTTCATTTATAGCCATTCTTATCATTATATCTTTCACAGGCAAAGCCAGCAGAGGACGCCCACACGAACATCACAGGTGACTCTAAGGACGCTGTCGTTACTGATGAGGAGAGTGATACCGGGGATGAAGCAGGGGGACCGGGTGATGACTGTGACATGAATTCAGATGATGATGATGATGATGATGATTGGAGTCCACTGGAGCTTCATTTCAAATCTGATGAGGAAAGTGAAGACAAAGGTGATGGTTTTCCTGAAGTGGGCCATAAAATCAGGCAGCTCTGCACAGAGTGTGGGGTATTTTTCAACAAATGGAAGCCTCACACATGTGAGTACAAAATTAAGCCATATCCATGCAATATCTGTGGGAAGAGGTATGTTAATGAGCTGTCTCTAAATGCTCACAGCAAGATCCATGATGAAAACTATGAGCATCAGTGCAAATACTGCAGTGTTACTTTCAAAACAAAGCTGGATAAGGTCACTCATGAGCAGATCCACGTGCCTGGAAGAAAACCCTATAAATGTCCTGACTGTCCAGATACATTTGCCACAAATAAGCGACGTAGAATCCACCTGAAGAGTCACAGAGGCTGCACACAGTTAACTTGTCACTCTTGTGGGATGGAATTTTACCGTGTCTGTTCTCTTCAGAGACATTTACTCATACACACAGGAGTGAAGCCGTACAAGTGTTCAGTGTGTCAGCGTGGCTTCAACCAGTTGAGCCACCTGAAGTCTCACATGCGTCTGCACACGGGGGAGAGACCTTATAAGTGTCAGGATTGTGACAAACACTTCAATCACAATGTGAGCTTGAAGAGTCATGTCCAGCGTTACCACACATCGAGTTCTGGACATGAACAGAAGGAAGAAGAGACAAAGGAAAGCAGCACTGGTGATTTTCAGGACAATGGGATCAAGAGAGGTGCAGAGCCGAGACTTGACAATGTAGATGAAGAGCATGATACAGAAGACGAGGTGCTGGAGGAGAGAATATATAGAGCTAAAAAGAAAAGGAGAAGCACAGGTAGACCCATAGGAAGGCCTAAGAGCTATGCATCTGGAAACACGGTTCTGGCGATTGAAGTGGAAGGCCAGGGCGCACACACTGAGGCTCACCAATTACAGGTGGAGAAGTTAAGGAGAAGGCAATGCAGTGATGAAGGAAGCGAGGATGAGCTAACTGACAGTGATGTAAACTTTGATTCAGCAGAAGAGGAAGAGGAGAGGAGCCAGGAGGCGATAAAGATCACAGAGAGATCAGGGGGTAAAGGGAAAAACTCTGACAGTGACTCTGATTTTGATCCTGAAAACTCAAAGGAAAAAAGGCAGAGAGGTCCGAGTTTAGGGAAGCGCAGGGGAAGACCAAGAAAACATGAGGTGGTGTGAATATTATTAAAATGAACAGTCAAAAGAATTTATGTTTAAACAGTTGTGAAATAAAAGAGCCATATAAATTCAGGGTTCATCCAGAACTGGAGTGATCTCCTAGAAAATTGCACATCTGGATGGATAAAACATCTACAGTTGTTGCTTTGATTTGAAAATACTTTAGAATCTTGATCACTGATGAATGAACCCACATCAGCCTTGATAAAAGTATATTAAACAGGGCTTAAGAGCCTGTGTTTCTTTCGGTGGTACATTTCTTATACTTAATTCATAATACTGGTTTACAGTATGTGATGCTGATTGATCTGTAAACTAGTTAAAGGTTAGTCACAAATGCTGCTGAGAGGGACTGTGAATTTACTTCTGCTAGGCATCTGACCTGGTATGAGTGTTCAAATCAAATGAGATTTATTTATATAGCACTTTAAAAACAACATCCAGTTGACCAAAGTACTTTACATAGACAGAATAAAATCATGATAAATAAATAAAATAAAAATAGATTCAGTGCAAAAATAAAAATAAGTCAGATGACACACATTCAATAAATTAGATTAAAAGGACTGCATCAGGCCCTACTGTGTATTAAAAGCCAAGGCAAATAAGTATGTTTTAGGATTTAAAAGTTGGCAGGTCAGTAACTGACCTAACATTAAAATGTAGACTATTCCACAATTTAGGGGCTGCAACAGTAAAAGCACGGTCACCCCAGTATTTATATCTGGCCCTAGGACCCTCTAAAAGAAACTGGCTTGAAGATCTGAGGGACCTTGTAGGTTTGTGCCAATGCACTAATTCAGTGAGGTAGGATGGTGCCAAACCATTAAGAGCCTTAAAAACAAAAATTAACAGTTCTAAAATGGACTGGAAGCCAGTGGAGAGAAGCCAGAACCGGGGTTATATGCTCAAATTTTCTAGTACTGGTCAGAAGACGAACAGTAGCTTATTGAACCATCTGAAGACTAGAGAGGGAGGACTGGTTAACACCACAGTATAGAGCACTGCAATAGTCAAGGCAGGAAGTGATAAAAGCATGGATTGCAATCACAAAATCATTCAAAGAAAGGAATGACTTGACTTTACTTAACAATTTGAGGTGGAAGAAGCTAGATTTCACAACTGAGTTGATTTGCTTGTCAAACCTTAACTCGCCATCAAACATCACCTTAGGTTTTTTACAGTTGATGAGCCGGGGGGCCCCAGACCCTGGTCAAACGTAGTTGAGTTCGCCATGTCTCCAAAAAGCATACACTCAGTTTTATTTTTGTTAAAATTTAAAAAGTGCCAGTTAACATTTTTGTGGCCACAGGTTAGAAAATGTTTCAGCAACTTATGTAGTTAGGTGACAACTATGGAATGTAAAGAGCAATTAGGCCATGAAGCTGTTAGACGGTGATGTGGTTCCCATAATACCATATTTTATTGGTAATTACATTGCACAGAGTGTAATTAGTTAGGTAATTGTTTGATTTTACTTTAAACTCCCCTTCACTTTCACTTGATTGTATTTAGCCACATTTTGGGCTGTCTGTGAGATTTTTGTCCCATTCTGTAGAGGCGAGTGAAATTAGCCTTGTGTATATGTATATGCTATATAAGTTATGTTTTTTAATTATATTTAAACATATTTTTTCTTCAACATTGCCTTTCTCCCTTGGTTTTTATGTTACCTGATGAGTTTTAGTAAGGTTGCCCCCAGTAAAGCATAGCTTTGCTTGCAGTTGAACAAAAGAAGAAAATTGTTTTAAAAACCCATTAGTCCTGTAAAACATGGTGTGCATTGGCTAAGGAGCCACATCTCTTGTATGCCTGCTACAGCTAGGTCTTTATTTTGGATTGTATGCTCAACTGTCATAAGTGTGGGTGTATATTTGAACAATTTTGTAGTTAAGTGACAAATTGGTAAAAAACCAGGTGCAGAAGTATGATTGGCATAAAATGATTCCCACAGTTAGTCTCCACATTATTCTGATAAAGTTTCTAAAGAAATGTGCTTGTTGATTAAACTACAAGTGCTTTTATACGCAGCCATTCCTAATACCATACTATAAACACAGCAACCTGACTATTATGTATGTGGGAAGTGTAAAACTTTGAGCTCGCAACCGCCATCTGCTGGTCTCTCCGCGGTCCTGCATATAAATACAAATCTGCACTATGCGAAAGCTACATTAAACCTCTGATGGTCAGGCACCACAGGCTACAGCTTACATTTTTGGTATTGTGAGGTTAATAGGCGACATTCTACATAATTAGTTTTGACACATTCGATGGTTTTGACAGAGTGCGCTCCCCCACCCCTATGTACGCAAAGGTTTTATGGTTATTGTGTATGTTACCTGATTAGTTTGGACGCTGCTATTACAGTCAATGGTAATGACCAGAAGATACAGTAATGTCGTGTGCTGAATATACAGCAAACGGATACGCCTGACATCAAACCACGCGAACCCTCTTCAGAGCCCCGCCCATTCCGTTACCACCACGGCTACTGTACTAGCAAAAATGGCTAGCTGCTAAGCTAGTGGCTGTTGAGATTCGGCTTACCCCGGCGTCTCTTCTGTTGTCCATTAAACTTCGGCGTTGTTTCGCCCAGTTTAAAACTGTAAAGACAAACTATAAAGGGAGGATGTGCTCTGTTGACGGATGCGGTTCGTGGCGTCGCGGCGTGCGTAGGTTCAAGTTACCAGAGGATCCAGAGAAGAGACTGGAGTGGGTTCAGTTTCTTTTCGATGTCAATGGCCAACGACTCAAAGAATCGTCCTGCACCGATATCACCATTTGCAGTGAACACTTTACAGATGACAGTTTTGAAAACCTGACCCTGACTGGCACGGTACAGCTGAAGCCCAGCGCTGTGCCATCACTGTGCATCAAGCCAGAGCCAGACGAACCCGCGGAGACCCTTCAACTTGTAGTGAGTCAGTTGTAACAGTGTTGCTGTCACCTTCTACTTGGTTGGCCTACATCAGAGGATACATGTCAGACAAATACATACATGTCGGCAGTCCCTTGTCCCACGTGCTCGATCTACATATATAGGTTATACAGTATCTCCTGTTAGGTTATATGCAACATTTGCCTGTGACACATGCTGACTTGTTTTTGCTGCACGACTTAACTCAATTATGAGTAAAACAAGTGCTTAGATTTAAGTATATCATTACCTAGTCAGTTTCAGGAGCAAAATATTGAACTACTTTTATTTATGTGGGATGAAGGTTAATGTGTGTAGTTCATATGCATTCTTCATATAACCTTTTACATATGGAAGACTAACATCGCTGATGATGAATAGATATAAAATGAAGAAAATCATCCACTTTGCAATCACTTTATTGACCCTCTCTGTCTTTTTGTCGTGTAGATTATAAACCATTTAGTTTTCTTACTGGTTTTAAGCAAGCCAGTATAACCAAAAGAGTTTTTCTGTCTCACATTAGCTTTATTCACTGTTGTGGCTTATATTTTAAAATTTGTTAACAATCCAGTACTTTCTTTCCAGTTTAAGTACTTCTAAAGCGCCAGTGCAACCAGTAAAATGCAGTTTCTCCCTTGCCAAAAAGTATTTACAGCTAATTTATATTTTAAAGATTATAAACCATCCAGCACCTTTAAGTACTACTAATTATTTAATCAGCATTTGTTTTCTTGAAAATGTTTATTTAAGCCAATATTACACAAAAACATATTTTGTCATGTGATGTTTGTCTTTATTTTACAAGACAAAGCATATGTTAGGTGGTGCTCAGGATGGAAACACCAGTCAGATCCATTTTCGGGTGTATCGTTTGTGGGTTGTGTTTAACTGCAAGCTTTTGCTTTTGTGTTTTTGTGCTGGAGCCTGCGGAAACCACAGATGTTGCTTGTCAGTGTGATCTTGAAATGTGTAACAGTCCAACGCCCTCTTCTGAAAAATCAAAACATACTTTAACAGGTTAGAAACAATACTTACTATATTATATAAAACTTTAAGTGGGTATGTTTTTGTTAGTCTCTTTACATGTGACTTCTGAATATTATTTTTTTAGGCAAAGACATGCAGCAAAAAGTTATAAATACTGGATTGAACAAAGAAAAGTAAGTTCCACATTCTTAACTTTTTTTTCTGACTTTTTTTTAAATATTAGGTTGGCCTATTTAATTATAACAATTCTTTCAGAGCTGCACTTCCACAGATGGAAGGAAAGTTTGTTGTGAATGAAAGCTGCCTGTTCCAGTTGTTTCGCCGCAAGTGCCCATCATGTGGCTGTAAACTTCAGATGGAGAAGCTCACCTGTGGGGTATTGATCACCTTGAACCAGCACTGCCTTCGGTGTGAGTTCAGAAACCAGTGGAGAAGCCAAGTCAGTGCCAGAGTCCCAACAGCTGAAGATCAACACCTGATGGGAGGCACAGAAGTAACTCCAGAGGCACCGAAGGTAGAACATCTATAGTTAGACATACAGCACCATATCCTGATGCTCTGTTTGTAGTATGACTTTGGAGCTCACTCTGCCCTGTGCTTTGAGTATTTCACAACCAGTACAGTGAGAATTATAAATCCTAATGTGTCAATGGTAATTTGGCTGTAATCTTCTGTGCTGAATAGACTTGAATAGTTTTTCCCACACTAGGTTGTCATGCTTGTCATTGTATTGTTCACAGGCAATGCCAGCACATGACAACCTGAGCAGTACAGTTGTCTCTGAGGTTGTTACTTTTAACGATGAAGAAAGTAATCCATCCGATGAAGGAGAAGAAGGTGATGAAGGTCGAGTGAGTTCAGATGGGGAGTGGAATCCGACTGAGGAGCTTTTGCTGACTGAGGAGCTTGCAAAGGAATCTGAGGAAGAAACTGATGACGAAGGTGTAGAAGAGGAAGTTTTGGATTCTCCCAGTGGCCTCAAAATTAATGAGCTCTGCACAGAGTGTGGAAGTTTTTTCAATATTCTGAAGCCTCACACATGTGAGCACAAAATAAAGCCCTATTCTTGTAATATTTGTGGTAAAAGATGTGTTACTGAGGTATCTTTGAAAAATCATAGCAAAATCCATGATGAAACCTACGAACATCCTTGCAAATACTGCCACGTTACCTTTAAAACAAGGATGGATAAACTTAAACATGAGCAGATCCATCAAGATAGGAAAGACTCCTACAAATGTCCTGACTGTCCACAGACATTTACCACCAATAAACAGCGCAGAATCCACCTGGCAAAGCACAGAACCCCGAAGGAGTTCAAATGTGGACTTTGTGGGATTGAATTTAAGGACGTACATCATCTCCAGAGACACTCTGTTGTGCACACAGGACTGAAGCCGTACAAGTGTTCAGTGTGCCAGCGTAGCTTCAACCAGGTGAGCCACCTGAAATCCCACCTTCGTCTGCACACGGGGGAGAGACCGTATAAGTGTCAGCATTGTGACAAATGCTTCAATCACAACGTGAGCTTGAAGAGCCATGTCCAGCGTTACCACACATCAAGCTCTGGACATGAAAAGAAGAAAGAGAAGACTGATGAAAGGGCAAGTGACACCGGTGATGCTGAGAACAATGGGAATAGGAAAGACACAGACTCAGAGTTTGACAATGTAGAAGAACAAGATAAAGAAGAGGACATGCAGGCGGCGGGAATAGATTCACTGAGAAAGAGGAGCACAGGTAGGCCGAGGGGAAGGCCTAAAAGAAATACAGCAGGTAGCGTAGTTGTAGAAGGACAAAGGAAAAACCAGCGTTCAGCCAATAAGTCTGTCAAATCAAAGGCGCAGAAGTTAAAGAAAACAGGTTCCAGTGACGAAGAAAGTGAGGGTGAGCAATCAGACAGTGAAATATCCCGTGACTCAGCAACAGAAGAAGAGGAGGACAACACAGGGAAGAGCACAGTCAGGTCAAGAAGAAGACCAAAAAATAACAGTAA